GGCTTATACTTAAATCAGGAAAAGGTAACTGTAGTTTCTGGAAACATAATGGGGAAAGAAGGTCTGGAGAATTTGATACTCACGGGTCGAAAAGAGGGTAAGACAAAGGAAAACAACGCTTGACATATATGGTGGGCTTAAGCAAGTGGATGACATAACGTGGTCTAGGAGAGGACGTGGAGGGAAGGAACTTGTTGAGAGCTGCAAAGGATAGAGGACGTGGAGAGCCATGATCGCCTACATCCTGAAAGGACATGGCACATAAAAAGAAAGGAGAACTGAATATTGCTCTTTTGATAGTTACACATGTACACATTAGCCGAACTAGTTGAGTGATTCCTGTATTAAATAGTTATGGATATGAACGTTTGAAAGTGTTTTAAAGAAAGGGTGAATGATTTTTTTTTTAAATTTCAATGATAAAAGATAGAGAAAAACTTAAGAAAGAATGAATTAATTAATTAATAACAGTGAGTGATAGGAGTAAGGAAGACGGGATTTAAAATTTAATATTAGAATTTAACACCTCAAACTGAAATAAACTACAAACGAGAGTATGGACTGAATACTTAAATTTCAAGAGCCAATCATATTCCGTATTGTCACAAAAAAGAGGAAAACTCATAAAAATCTACCTCCACTTTTGCAATCACTAATAGCACAAGACAATACGACTTCTTACCATTCCTTACATACACATTTATAGAATCTAGTGTTTCTTTTCCTCTCTTAGACATTTTTTTCAATGTTTTAATTTATTGGCTTTTTTTAAAACTGCATTTAACTGTTTTCGAAATTAAATTTCACTTACAAGTTGTAAACACCGCGTGAAGATCAAATCTAAAGAAACACCAGAAAAATAAAAAAGCAAAAAAATGCAGAAAAGAAATATATTCAGCTCGAACAATGTCTTACAGATAATTAGTCTGTTCTTTCGCTAGATTAGACGAACTAATATGGACGGACGTAAGACATAATTCGTTTTTCAAAATTCCCAAATTGTACGATGGCTTATCTCAAACACGTCCACGTGTGAACAGTTCAGAACTTAACCGGAAAAAAATGTAATGTATAAATATATACAGGGATGGCAGCCTACCGGTTGTTGAATTTTTTTTTTAAGCATTTAACCCCAAGCAAGACTGGAGTACTGCTAGCACGCAAGGGTGTTACAGAAAGTTAAAGGAAAAAGTAAAGAGGGTTGTTTGAGGAAAAGATAAAGCGAAGAATAAGGATCAGGCTCAAGGCATCAGAAGATGTCGGTTGATATTACATTTGACGATTTGAAGATTAGGCCGGAGTGCCACTAGCAAGTAAGGGGTTACAGAGAGAGGGAGTATGGGTAAAGAGGCGTGATGACGGGAAGGATGATAAGGACGGGGAATTAGATCAACACATCTGAAGATGTCGATTGACATTGCTTTTGAATAAGTGAAGATCATAAATATCAGGGAAGCAAGTAAGAGGACCCCTCCTCTTATTTGCTTCCCTGATGGCACAACCATTTATTCCTATGATAATAGTAAGTCTTAGAGGTTTCAAAAGAATAAATTGGTGGCTGATCTAAAAGATAATCTACTTTCAGAAGTTAACTATGGCAAGGAATAGCCAATTAATAATAACGCTACCAAAACGAAACTGTCACTTTTAACCGTCAGTTCGAATGTGGCTAAGAAACTACGACCCAGCTGATGACACTAGATTAAAAGAAAAAAAAATACTTGTCTATATATATAAGATGAAGTATTATGTACACTATTTACATTATTCGGACTATTGTCCTCATCTTTGTTGCCATATTTATTACACCGTATCGGCCTTTCAGTATCTGTCTATATTTCTGAGATGAGGTGTTATGTACACTATTTACATTATTCGGACTATTGTCCTCATCTTTGTCGCCATCTTTATTACAACGTTTCGGACCTTCAGTATCTGTCTATATTTCTGAGATAAGGTATTATATATAATATTTACATTATTCAGACTATTGTCCTCGTCTTTTTCGCCATATTTATTACAACGTTTCCGCCTTTTAGTATCTCTCTATATTTCCGAGATGAGATATTATGTACATTATTTACATTATTCGGACTATTGTCCTCACCTTTGTCGCCATATTTATTACAACGTTTCCGCCTTTCAGTATCTGTCTATATATCTGAGATGAGCTATTATGTACACTATTTACATTATTCGGACTATTGTCCTCATCTTTGTTGCCATATTTATCACAACGTTTCGGCCCTTCAGTATCTGTCTATATTTCTGAAATGAGGTATTATGTGCACTATTTACATTATTCGATCTATTGTCCTCTTCTTTGTCGCCATATTTATTACAACGTTTCGGCCGTTGTACGTTCCGTCCTTCTACAGGTGGTTGGAATGTCGATTTATTTCGCTCACTGTGGTAGACTGTTCTAGTTCCACGTGTCATGTCTAATGGATATCAGTTATCAGTTATCTCCTGTTAATTCGTCTCTCCAAGTTTTCCACCGCCTTAAACAAGTATTGAACTCACACATTTTGGGTCCTGTCACTGGATCTAACTAATGCCTTTATCCACTGTGCCACACATACTTCTGAATAGAAATATGATGAGAACAGAATTCTCATCTGGAAATATCTTAATAAATAAAATACAACCTATGAAAGAATGTGGATTTGATTGTATTCCTGCAATGCTCCTTAAGAAATGTGCTCCCGAACAGTTTGAAACTGGCACCAGTATGGCTGTTGCTAACCGCCAGGAAAGTGTTCTATTGCACTTCCAACGCAAAAAGGTTTTCCTTGACATTATGCGGAAAGGTTATATTGAATAAATTGCTAGGTTTTGTGATAGGAAAATTGGTTCCCTGTCTCGGATAGTGCGGCCACATCTGGTCGGGTTTTTTTCTGCCATATAATATTCAAAAAAGAATCTGCCATGTCATTGATCCTGACCCTGCATCTGCGGTTCACTCACTTTCCCATACTTGCAAAGCAGCTTTCCAGTACGTTTTCTATAAACATTTTTATGGTAATTGTTCTGAACAACCCGCCATGGAACTTAGATTTTATGAATGTTAGCACTGTATTAGATTGGCGGCAATGTCTCATCATTTTAAAATGAAATTGCTAGAATTAACCGCAAGTTCTATGCTAACAGTTTCCTCTGTCAGTTTTCTCGATTGTGAAACTCACTTCCGGTCTCTTTCTTCCCAGTCTTCATTCATCTTCAGTAATTTAAATACAATGGCCATCGTTATCTTCCCCATTCTTAATTCTTGTTCGTTTATTGCTCCCTCTGTTTCCTTAATAGTCTTTATTTTCTCATATTTCGCATATTCAGCAACACTTTCCGTCTTAATGGCTTTATTACCTTGCTTGGGGTGAAATTATTAAAATAAAACCAAGAAGGAAGGGCAAAAATTACAGAATCCAGAAAAACAGAAAACGGCGATTGTCTTTAAATTTCAGAAGATTGTAGAAATCTCTTTCATCTTTTGACTTCTTAATCAACTTTGATATTAAACAGTTTAATTCCAATATCTATATCTACATACTGTCTCATCATTTCGTTTTATTTTTGTTTTCTCTCTCCTTAATAATTTTTTATGTATCTCATAATCTCTAACACTCAGTAGACCCGTGTGATATAGTAGCTTTATTGACTTGCTTGAAGGGGAAAACTTAAAAAATAAAATATTTAATATTATATATTCCTAATATATATATATATATATATATATATATATATATATATATATATATATATATATATATATTTATTAACTGATTTAAAATATGGCTTCATCGCTACACAGAAATTACCATGTTTCAAAAACAAACCAAATACTTCAATTTCAATTATATCAATGATGAAACCATATTTTTATAAATATTTAAATGTTATGCTCTGTAAATTTACATTGAGCACTGTTTTCAAAAAATAAAAAATATCAACAAGAACACCGGATTACATATCTTACTGTTCTTCCTTTTTTAATATATATATATATATATATATATATATATATATATATATTGAATAATGTTTTGATACCACAAAACAAATATAATGATTTAAAGAAAATGAATTTCTTTTTGTATGACCATTTTTTTTTTTTTTTTTTTTTTTTTTGCAGGACCTAGGTAATTTTCGGCCAACGCTTCATCAGGGTCTTTCGTTGGCAAATGAATTTAAACAAACAATGAAAATGAAAAGAACGCCAAAATGGTATGGTTGGAACACGTCTAAAATATTACGAAGATATATATAAATACGTAAATTAAAATAAATTTACGATTAAAATAAATGCGTAAATAATGAATTAATAATAATGAACCAACCTGAGCAGTAAAATAGAAAAATAAGTTGCTCATATATCAAAAAAATGATGAAGCGTTTGGCCGAAAGGTAAAAAAGGTCCTGCAAAAAAAAAAAAAAAAAAAATGGTCATACAAAAGAAATTCATTTTCTTTAAATCAATATATATATATATATATATATATATATATATATATATATATATATATATATATATATGTATGTATGTATGTATGTATTTTTTATTTTTAAAGTGAAGATCTCACTGAAATATATTAACAAAAAAAAAGAACTTTAATATAAAATGGTCAGAATAAACGAAAGGTGTCAGTATGATATATATCATTCTGACGTCCATTTAAATATAAATTACGATGCCACAATTATAAGTTATAATCGTGTTGTTGGGCCCCAGATCAGGACAATGTAAGGCTTTAATGCCAATTCTTCGCTGAACGTTTTGGATTTATGCAGAAAATGTGGCTTGATCAATTGTAAAATTTAATGTCCCTGTATCTCCAGCATTTCATTTGGCACAAAATTATAAGCGACGTTTGAGATTTGAAAAGACAAGATAGATGGGATAGATAGATGTGAACACAGTGACATAGATAGATAGATATGTATAGTGTGATACATAAATAGATAAATATGCATAGGAACAAACTGAGATAGATAGCGATATATATCTATGAACAGGCAGAGAGAATTAAAGATAGATAGATAGATAGATATGAACAGTGTGATAGATAGACATAGATATGTATAGTGTGATTGATAAATAGATAGATATGCATATTAAAAGACTGAGATAGATAGCGATGTATATCTATGAACAGAGAGAGATAGTTAAATAGAGAGAGAGAGATTAACAGTGTGATAGATAGATAGATAGATAGATAGATAGATAGATAGATAGATAGATAGATTTGGACAAACGATGGATAGATAGATAATTGACTGCAACGGAGAGATTGAAAAATGACTGCAATAGACAGATAGATAAATGACTGAGACACAGAGAGAGGTAGACAGACAGACAGATAGATAGATAGATAGATAGATAGATAGATAGATAGATAGATAGATAGATAGATAATTGATTGCAATAGAGAGATAGATAGATAAATGATTGCAAAAGATTTATTTTTAGATAAATTGATAAGATAGATAGATAGATAGATAGATAATTGATTGCAATAGAGAGATAGATAAATGATTAAGATAGATAGATAGATAGATAGATAGATAGATAGATAGATAGATGAGTAAGACAGATAGATAGATAGATAGATAGATAGATAGATAGATAGATAGATAGATAGATAGATAGATAGATAGATTTGGACAAACGATGGATAGATAGATAATTGACTGCAACGGAGAGATTGAAAAATGACTGCAATAGACAGATAGATAAATGACTAAGACACAGAGATGTTAGACAGACAGATATATATATAGATAGATAGATAGATAGATATAGATAGATAGATAGATAGATAATTGATTGCAATAGAGAGATAGATAGATAATTGATTGCAGTAGAGAGATAGATAAATGAGTAAGATAGATAGATAGATAGATAGATAGATAGATAGATAGATAGATTTGGACAAACGATAGATAGATGGATAGATAATTGACTGCAACGGAGAGATTGATAAATGACTGCAATAGACAGATAGATAAATGACTGAGACACAGAGAGAGGCAGACAGACATATAGATAGATAGATAGATAGATAGATAGATAGATAGATAGATAGATAGATAGATGATATATGAAAAGACTAAGATAGGTAGCGAAAAAGATATGTACAGCGTGATAGATATAAAAAGATAGATAGTTGCAATCATCTAATTTACTATGTAACCGAAATCGACCTTTATCTGGTTGATGTAAAGTCCATAACTTAGTTCTCCGCCATACATTCGCTAATTAATGATGAGAATACATGACTAAATTTTTTTCCCAAACTTTGTAAAAACTAAAGTTTCTCGACAAAATATTTATGTTATTATTAAGAGGAAAAGAACGAAGGATTTGTTGATAGTGATTTATTTTATCCTTTTCAGAACGTCAAAAATTTTGGTTTAATTGTGCTTTTCTTGTGTCAACGAGGGTGGAAGCAAGGCATATATATATATATATATATATATATATATATATATATATGAAATCTTAGCTTCTTCTTAAATGTGTAAAAAAATATTGATTTGTTAATTATTCCAGAAATGTTTCCTATTTAGAATTTCTAGATAAAAACATTTTATTACATCTGTTAGCCCCCACTCACGTCCAAATTATTTAATTTCATGAAATTTCCAGAAATCCTTTTTTGCACGATTTAATCTTTATATTTGTTATAAGCAGAAGTCTTTGGAGAATTTAAATCAAAAATTAGTATTTTGTAAAACAGGGCCCCACTTACTGAAAATCTGCTGTAAATTGTAAAATGAAAAAAATGTAATAAAATTAAGACATTATTTAATTAAAAAAATCTTTAATTTGTTTTAAGGTATATTATGTACATTATTAGTGATGAATAATGAATTCTTACAAGAATTGTTTACATTTTTTCTTAAATTTTAATTAGAATAATTTATAAATCTTTTAAAATTCTCTAATTATTTCCACATATTACGAGCTATTCTTAAGTAAAAACTATTTTTATTAATCATAAATAGAAAAGCTTACTACAATTCAGCGACCACAGTATTTTAAATTATTTTTTTTGTGTGTGTACATATGTACCGGTCTTTGTAAATATGGAGGTCCATACAAATATACAGTGTAACCCGGATATAAGAGAGTTGTCGGGACCGAAGAAGAAGTCTCTTATATCCGGGTTTCTCTTATATCCGTGTTTGGTCTATTTTATATACATTGGCACAGGCTTTAATTTGGGACCAGAGAAAATCTCTCTTATATCTAGGTTTCTCTTATATCCGGGTTTGGTTTATTTTATATATATTAACACAGGCTCTAATTTGGGACCAGAGAAAATGTCTTATATCCGGGTTTCTCTTATATCCGAGTCTCTTATATCCGGGTTACACTGTATTACCAGAAAATAAGTTCGGGAATATAGTAAGTTTAAAGTACCTAAAAATCAATGAAAACTAAGATTACTCAGAATAATTGCTTAATTTTAAAGAGTTTTGGGTAGTTAAGCACACCCCTCCATCTATATATGGCCTTTTTATATATTCTTGGAATAAACTAGTACTTCTCGAAATCTGTTTTGGGTAGAAGCTTCCAAACAAAGTTCAGTAGATTTTTGCTTTTTTTTAATTCAATCAATACAACAAACGTGTGAGAAAAAAATAAAAAAACACATAGAAAGAGGGTAAACCAAAGATACTTATCAATGTGTGAGCCTCTGATTTTGTGGCCCGATTGATACGTCTGGCGGCGAAGTCGTATCCCCGGAAGATAGGAATATATATATATATATATATTTTTTTTTTTTTTTTGGAAAAGAGCCTACTGCACCACCCAAGAATAAATGACACGTTCTCTCCAAATGACCTCCTCGACATTGAACAGTAACTTGCCAATATTTAAGACAGATTGTGGGAAATATTGTAAGAAATTGCCTGCCACCCACCTGTATACATTATTTTGTTGCGTGTATTTTGAAAGGTTTTATTCAAACATTTTTACTAAACGTTTGACGTTTTTTTTATTTATTTAAAGAGTACATGTAAGTAACTTGCTTTTTTCAATTATAAAATGTTGCCTCTAAAGAGTCTGTAATAAACCAAACCAGCCATTTTTATCATTTGTATATTCGCACTTTAATTATTTTTACTAACCGGCTTCATTATAACTGATTTTCTTTTATTTAAAGAATACATGTTAGTATTTTTCTTCTTCAATTGTAAAATGTCCCCTTCCAAAGAATGTGTAACAAACCAACCCAGCCATTTTTATTATGCATATATTTGCTCTTTAATTATTTTTTATGACCCTCTGTCTTGATTAAAACTGTTTTTTTTATTTAAAGTGTAACGTTTTTTTTATTTAAAGAGTAAAGTTAGTAACTTTCTTCTTCAATTGTAAAATGTCCCCGCTCTAAAGAATGTGTAATAAATCAGCCCAGCCATTTTTATTATTTGTATATTTGTCCGTTAATTATTTATTATAGCCGTCTGTGTTCATTATAAGTGTTTCTTTTTGTTTAAAGAGGACATGTTAGTAACTTTCTTCTTCAATTGTAAATTGGAAAATGTTCCTTCGAAAGAATGTGTAATAAACAAAAACAGTCTATTTTATTAGTCGTATATTTGAACCTTAATTATTTTTTCTAACCGTCTGGCTTCATTATAAGTGTTTTTTCTTTTATTTAAAGAGTACATGTTAGTAACTTTCATCTTCAATTGTAAAATGTTCCCCTCTAAAGAATGTGTAATAAACCGACCCAGCCATTTTTATTATTCGTATATTTGCCCTTTAATTATTTTTTTATATAAGTTTACATGTACTTTATATATGTATGTTGCAAAAAGATTCAGTATTTGGAGTGTTACTTGTTATTGTCATAAAGTTGGGGAGCAGTACAAATACAAAAGGATGCATAACTTTGTTTTAAAAATTACGCAAAAATGCTAACCTCAGGTAAAGGGACCTGTTGCGTTTTTTCGGGCTCACATTCTCATCTGATATGAAGTGGAAAGACTATACTGAATCCATTGCTAGTTCAGCTTCTAAGGAAGATGTACATTGTGTCAGTCGAGACGATTTGATTGGTCCAGATCTGGCAGCTCGGCTACAGTCACTTTTTGACCTCCTACGGTTGCCTCCCTTTACCTTTTTCTCTGTGATCATCGTTCGAATGAGCTCTTCGCTATGATGCGTAGATATTTTTTCAAATTAAGCGCAGTGCTTGAATCCATTATTAGGTCAGCTGCTGTTTGGTTCGTTATGTTGCGCTAGAGAATTTTTCTCTCGGGAATTTATCATATATATTCTATTAGTCCATGTTCAGCATATTGCTGCCACATATGTTCCGGTGTCCCTGCTATTTACCTTGAGTTCCTTGATAAGATCCAAAGAAGAATCAGCAATATTATTGGTCCTGATCTGACGGCTTGGCTTCACTCATTTTCTCAACGCCGTATGGTTGCCTCCTTTTATCTTTTCTGACATGAATTGGAAAGACTATATTGAATTCATTGCTAGGTCAGCTGTTAATTTTCTCTCCGGCATCTATATTATTTATATATGTCTACCATTCTTCCATGCTTAGAATATTGCTGCCACATATGGACCCGGTGTCCCTGCTATTTACTTTGAGCTCCTTGATAAGATCCAAAGAAGAATCAGCAATATTATTGGTCCTGATCTGACGGCTTGGCTTCACTCACTTTCTCACCGTCGTATGGTTGTCTCCCTTTGCCTTTAATGACATGAATTGGAAAGACTATATTGAATTCATTGCTAGGTCAGCTGTTAATTTTCTCTCCGACATCTATCTTATATATATATATATATGTGTGTGTCTACCATTCGTCCATACTTAGAATATTGCTGCCACATATGATCTGGTGCCCTTGCTATTTACCTTGAGCTCCTTGATAAGATTCAAAGAAGAATCAGCAATACTATTGTCTCTGATCTAGTGGCTCAGCTGCAGATATTTTCCCAGCGCCGTAAGGTTGCGTCTCTTTACCTTTTTTATAAATACATTCATGGTAATTGTTGAGATGAACTCTTCGTACTGAACTTTTCTGTCTGTCGAACTCTCTGTATTCGGCCACTGAGGAACCCAGACGAGGCTACGCCGAAGGGTAGAGTCTCGTCTGGGGAGGTAGACAAATCCGACTAAGTGTATGCCGGGTCTACGAGAAATATTTTGACTGAGTCTATGGCCTCGGATTATTTTTTTCTTAATGCTTTGTTTAACTTCTAAAAGGGTTTTTCACTATCCTTTTTTAAAATTTGTGTTATAAATGAAAATCACCATCGTAGTTTTGGTAGCTTAAAAAATAATAGTGATGTTAAAAGAAAAAAACGTCATCTAGACAAACCGTTTTTTGCGGGTATGAAGATTGCGCAAAAGAGTAACTTCATTAGGCTGATTATATTTCAACAATAAAAATAATTTCACATATTAAATGTAAATCTTTTAATCTACTTCTAAGTGACGTGTTCATTCAAGACGTTGGCGATCATGGTTCTTCGCAATTCCATCTCTTATGTATCTCTTGATAAATATTGATTTTTTTCTTATCTCCCCTAACCCATATTCCGGCATCCATTTACTCAATTCACTAAGTATGGTATACGTTGTTTTTTCTGACCCTCTTTCTTTTCAATATGTCCAAATTTCAAATTTACTAAGCCCTATTTATTTATGTCTTTTCCTGATTTTACGTATAATATCCATTTTTCCCCTTTTCTCTAAAACATTGTAATCTTGATATTTCTTTTCTTTGAACCCTTCATTTGGATAATTGTAATTAATTTTTCGTATTTTCTCTTTGTAGGTAAGTGTGTTCTGTGATTTAAATACCTACTACGGAAGAATTTAAAGACATATAAATGAGGTAAGATTTAATGCATAAGAATACCTTACTGTCAATTATGACAGGGCGTGGTCATTTAATCAATGTCTGCGCTAAATTATTAAAAACTAAAAAAAAAAACTAATTAAAAAATAACTGCACGCAAAAAAATATGTTCGCGAATCGGAATTTCTTACATGCGTTGGAATAGCCTTCCAAAAAAATAAAGACATTATTAATCAATTTTTAAATTTCTTTAGAAAAAAGAAAGTAAAATACTGGGCTGTTGTATAATATCAGTCCTCCTATATGGCAATCAAAGATGACAGTTGAAGAAGAGACTTGAA